TGGTGTACTTAGGTACCGTTTGTAATCTCTGCATTGAAATTAAAATCATTATTTGGATATACGCATGTATCCCAATAACATAGTAAGCTATAATTAGCTAACACGAGTATCTCTGTGTGTGCAAACCTGTGTTACCGCCGGGGGCTGCCGGCCACCCGCCGAATTCACCAAAATAAGATCTTATAGCATTATTCTATATTCGCAATCTCGAATTAATCATAAATTACGTTTTACAGTTTGCGTGATTTTAATTAATGCTTTAGTTGTTTTATTTAATAATGTCAATAGTAATTTTTGATTACATTCCAGTAGCGCGTGGTACAGAAATGGGGGAATACGTCAGTGTCACGTGGCCAGAGGTGAGAGCACTCATAGTACCTTGTCGGCTCGCACACTACTATGTAAACTCACACGAACTCCTGATATCAAGATAATAAAATACATATATGTTGTGCAATGCACCTAGATGTGATACACATATGGAATAAACAAATTAAAAACTGAAAAATATGATTGTTTGTTTAATAAAAACGTACATACACAATACAACTATGCAAAAAACTAATCCAACATGTGACTGTGTGTGATCGTTGTAAATCTTTCAAAGGTATTTTTAGTTTTGTTACCAACCAATTCATACTATCACATTTTATAGATCTGTCAGTACGTGTCTGTTATAAAATTTAATGATGCAACGATTGAAAATCTTAAGTTAAGTGTTCAGAGTGACAATAAGGTGAGTTCGAGTGAATCGAGTACCGATAGTAGGTACCCGCAATGATGGCCGAGTTAATTTTACATGCGAGCGCGAAAGATATTAACCAAAGCCGACCTATCCAATGAATGCTTTGGCGGTCGATATGTAGGTGTACGTCGGAAGATCTACATAACGTTACGTCGGTACTGTACGCTATACCAGATAATAATAATGTCGCTTAATTTACTTACGATACACGTCGATTCTTTTAATAATAAAAAAAGTTACTATCGTCTACAAAAAGAGGGTAATATAAACTAGGATACTGAGCTATATTGTATTTTACCATACATATGTAAGTGTTGCTTTGATACATTTATTAATGAAGTAGCTTTTGCCCGCGAGACCGTCCGCGTGGAATTAAAACGACATCTGTACCAAATTTCATCGAATCAGTTCAGCTGTTTACGGTACAACCACTAACAAACATCCAATATATTAGTGTGATTCGAAAGTTTGGATGGATCCTAGATATATTTAATTTGTATATAGTTAACTATTGATAACTGTCCTATGGGTGGATAAATAAATATTTATGTTATGTCTCAATGCGGGTGTCTTGATGACAATTTGAACAATTACACTGTTAACGAGAACCAACCGGACCGGGGTGGTCGCATGCATTGCAATGTTGCTCTACTTTGTGTGTTTTAACATTTTTAGTACAAACAAAAATATGGAACACAATTAATTTAAGCATACAAAATTAAAATGCTTGATTAATTATTATTTAACATTAATTTAATGTTTAAGTAGATAATGTTTTGTAACTTACTACGTATAGATAACAAAATCATAATTAAATAATATAACAATTCGCGCGACAAAGATATTCTAATAACCCATTTGTCTGTTCATAAATCATTTTGCTATCGAAGACGAGTATAAATTCCTATTATCAATTCAATTTACTACGCATGGCGATCAACTGTATTGAATTATCGCTAAATAATTATCACTTAAATAGAGCAACTTGCAGACGCGACGTTCGACTGCGAAGGTTAATGTAACATTTTGCTGTTGCATATCACGTAATAACTGGAAACCACAACGTAATGAAGACATCAAGCGATTTACAAAATTAAAAAATGCACCTAAACAATAAGGCGAAGCGCGTACTTGCGTTTAATCACCACACGGCGAAACGCTACTGAACCGCGAAATTAATAACAAAATATTTAGGAGTAGTTAGTTATCAACACTAAAACACAAACAGGATGTTTAAAGGGAGTTGTGTTGTAAACGAAACATTTTTTGTTAATAACTAATCCGAAGCAAGCTACAACATAAAGCAGGTGCCCCATTGCAGTAAGTGTGCAGTGACAATATGACTAAAGAACGCATTATATTGGGTTTAGAGTTGTCCAAAAATGTTGCTAATAATAATTGCTAAAGCTTAGTGGATAGACGATATATTATTGAAGGTAACAATTGTTAGCAAGGTATTATTAAAAATAGATTTTGCTGCATCGAAATACATTTTTTAACAAGTTAGTAAAAACCGTTTAGTACAGCGTTTTGCTAACCCAAATGGAAACTACAATAACTTTAAGTTACATCATATGGGATAGTCTACTAACTTTAAACTGTAATTATCTTTATGATTATCATAATTTCCAATTAATTATATTACTTAAGATAACTTTAATTTATTTAATCATTGTTATGGACACGTCTTGTGAATTTTCTCATAGTCTGAGTGTTAAAAAAAAACTCCGACTAATGGAGTTCAAAACTATCATTAAAATATATCAATGTGTGAGTGTATGTTAATCTTTTTTTATGTTGTCGTTTAATTTAACTGTAATTCCGTCTAATGGTCAACGACCCCCATTTTTTTTAAAGTTGACATTTCTCTTGCTTTAATTTTCAATATTAAGTTAAGAATTGCACATTTGCAATATCGTTTGAAGTAATACAACAACTAAGACGTGCAGCTAACAAAATATTTGTTAGTAATTAACACTTTAATAGAAAAAAATATCAATGGCTAAAAACCGTCACTTAATTTTCAACCTTAATCTAATAGTCTAAGATTCAAATTTCAACACACTTCACAATAGGGTACAGGTATCTCAATACGTGTTCATTCAAAGCCGCAATCACACCATTTTTTTTCATTCTAAAAAGAGCGGTCATTCATTCATAGTTATGAATGAACTACCTGGGCCGTACGCTCGGGGTGTCGGAGTAAGCCTCTGTGACGTTTTTGTTTGTCTTTTTTTAATACCGGATGTGAGTCAAATTGATGTCCGTTAGGTTGTTTCATCATTCAATCCTTATTTTGGGTTCCACAAGACGAATGAAAAAACCATAGAGTTTTAATTTTTGTTAAGTTAATAAAGCCGGAATATATTAAGGTAATTTAAGCCCCAACATTACAAAATAAAGATGTTGAAAATTTAATTGTTTATACATAATAATATTATAGAATAATATAGTAAGGTTTTCCATTTAAATATAATAATTTTGCATGTAATATAAAACTGCTAATAATTGATAATCCAGAAATAAGAACTGACGAATCATTTTTTTTAATTTAATTAAAATGTACCGAACCTTTGTTTTATCAATTTGTGTTACCTGTTACACTTACAAAGGGTCTGTGGGAAATATTTTTACTTTCTTTCCGACAACGACGATTTTTTTTGTCGATTTGCTCGGACTTTTTGGAACTGCAACAACTATACTATGATAATTGTTTTTTAAATCTTACTATTCATGTTGTTATTTTCACACATGAAATATTACATTTGCTTTTTAATAATACATTTGTAATATTAAAAACAAAATCGTCGGACGCAATTAATTCCTTTCAATGAATTTGTAATCAGATATGTTAGACCTTAGACCTCGCACTATGTAATTAGTTCTTTTACGGTCCTACCATAAAAAATTTTGTTTCGCGCTAAAACAATCCAATCGTAAGAAACGAACGAACATTATATTTGTAATAACCACCACAGCCAAAGTTATATAAACTTAGTTTAGCTTATCGGCAGTCAAGGATAAAACGCTTGCTTAACTTAACAGTTGGTATTTAAAGGTAATACTTCGTTGTTTAGCCTTATGAGATCTTATTTGTTGTAGTAATAAGTTATTGTATTTACTATTGTGATAGTAACAAGCTCGTGGACGAAAAGTTAACTGCACATTATTTACGCGCTTTAATATTTTTTTTATTGTTACGTAGATCGTCGTATGTACATGAAGTAAGTACATTCCACATATCACACCACTGCTACGAAACGTCTACGCGCTACAGCCGCCTTCGTAGACTCGCTACACAACGAAATCCGTTAGATTAGAATCCCCGCTACAAAACAGATTCTCACCTCAATTGACTAGCATTTGACGCCCTTTAATTTTAAAAGAAAAAAAGTTTTATTCCACACTAACATTCATATAAGTATTATACTAATTTAGTCATAGACTTAGCTTCTAACTACTAATTATCAAATTGTAATAGGGATATTATATTTTAATAACTTTTAACTAATCTGCGAAATATAAAAACTTGCAACACGATTTATCATTTTTCAAATGAAATGGATATATTATGCTTACAGAAAAATGTCATTAGGTTGCAAATCCCACTTAAATTCAATTTTTTACGTTTTATTCTATTTTTCTACTATAAACAGGAATAAAAATGTACAAAAGATTGCAAGAAGGTACTTAAGTTTACTTTACATGTATTGTTATCTTTGTCGCTTATTTAAATGTTGAATGAAAGACATAAACGCCTATGTGACATAATTATTAATCAATTTGATGCAAAAAACAAATCGTAACCAATATTAAGTTTTACTATTTCACTAGTAATCAAAACTAAAAATGGAAATCTACAAGTAAAATTTATTGCACTCAGTCTTTCCGAGGACAAATAACTGAAATATGCTTAAAAATTAAGCTTCCAAATAATTTTTGTAATGTTCGAAATAACATGAAAATCTCTCAAAATCTAAAGAACTTTGTAAAAAGTAAAAAACATAAAGATGATTAAGTTAAATTTACATATAACTCGGAAAACTATTGTTATCATTTTTGTAAAATAGGCAAACTAGAGGAGGAAAAAGGACGCTGTTAAAGCAAAATGACAGATGTCGGTGACGTCGCGCATGCTGCACCGAGCACATCGCATAAGGGCGGCAGGGGTCTCGCCGACTCCTGAAGGTCTAGCGCACCCCGCGCCCGCACCGCGCCCGCGCCGCACCCGCACCGCACCCGCACCCGCGCCGTTAGAGCGCCACCCGCTAATTACGAGACGCTCGCAAATTAATCATCGCGCGAGATAAATCGGCTCGTGCTCGCTCCGAGACTATTTTGGTGGAGGCGGGGCGCGAACCGAGCCGAGGGGCCAGTCGCGCGCCGGCCGCCGACGTGTGAGCATCGCGTGTGGGAGCGCCGATCGTGTTGCGATGGAGCGATGAGGGCGTGCGGGCGCGCGGCGTTTTGCTGGGCCCTGCTGTGCCTCGCCGGTGGCCTGGCGGCGCCGCGCCGCCTCTATTGCGAGCGCGCCGACGTGGCGTGGCGGGCCTACCGTGCGCCGGCCGCCTTCGAGGCGCGCGTGCAGTCCCTGGCGCGGGACGCCGCCACGCTGCAGGTGCGTCGCGTGCTGCGCCGCCAGGGCCGCTGGCCGCGGGAGGACTCCATCCTGCGCCTGGAGCTGCCGCGGGAGGCCCTCGAGTGTTCGGGACGTTTCGAAGTGCCCTTGGAAAATAGAAAGAACTATATCGTGTTCGCGGAGCGGCACGGGCACGCTGCGGTGGCACTGGGCCCGCCGCTGCGCCGCACTGCCAAGCTGATGCGCCGCGTGCGCGCCGTCTACAAGCAGGGCTACAGTGAGTGTTGCGCTTCTCATACACCTACCCTACCGTACCTAACATGTCATATCCAGCATAAGTGATGAACTGACCGAGGTTGCGTATTTTTATGTCTACGTACACTTTTCACTTCAATTTGAAGTCTTCGCAGACTAAGAAAAATTTGACTGAAATCAGTCAGTTATTATGGTTTGTCCATTAGTAAATGTTTTCCCTTGTGTTTACAGAAATTTCTTTTTTTTATGGTAGGTTCACTAGGTATTTTTATGAAATCGTAATGTAAACTGAACACGAACCATGAATCGTAAACTTCGTCGGCGCTAAACGCTTTGCGGTTTCGTCGAAAATTTAAAATAGAAAAGCATTAGCTAACTCGAACTCTATTATTATATTTTTAATATGCCAATAAATTTAAGTGCTAACAAACATGCAGCGGGCAGGTGCATCGGGGGAACAAGTAGCTATTACGTGTCCATTTTAGGCGCAAGAGTAAATAGTGGCGGCGCGGCGCGGCGCGGTCAGTGTAGCAAGACGTGCGCCCGCTGCCCGCCGCCCGCCGCGCCCGTCGCCCGTCGCCCGTCGCCTGCCTCATTTATGCACCCTTAGTAACGGTCAGGTGGTCAGAGGGCAAAGAGGAGGCCTGTTAACACACTGCAAATAATATCGCTAATCGGACATTAAAACATAACCACTTTGTCTTCCAATTGTAATAGAAGAAACTCAATCAAAATCAAAAAAAATCATTTATATTTTGAACGAAAGCGGAAATTACGTCAGAAATAGTAATAACAATGTGTAAATTGTAATTATAATTGCACATTGAAGACCGTAATCTAGGATTAAAATCAACAATAATTATGCATTCTTAGTGTTGGATCTACCGCGACAAAAAATATTGTATTGTCATGATGAAATCATGCCATTAAGTTATTTTTCTATACTCATTACCTGCGTGTTATAGATCTACGATGTAGATAGGGTGGTTTCCGTCTCTAACTGAATATGTCTGTCACAAGATAACAGAAGCTTTATTAAGAATCTACACAATTAAAAAAGTCAAACGTTGAACCAAATCTTATCTTTAAAAATTTAGAGTCAAACTACATATTAGTTTAGTATTCAGTTTAGAAGAAGTAGACCTCTATGTTCGTGATCTACAAGAGTTGGTACAAATAATGTCAGCATGATGGTTTTGTCTTCCAGATCGTTCTTTTGTCCGTCATTCCACCCTTTATAGCATAGATTCCAAGAGTCATAGCATATACCTTTCACAAATATGCCGACACTGTACTGAATTTATCATTAAAACTGTCTGTCTAGTTATAAATGACCTACACAATTGTATAGAGCCTTTGAGTCAGCACGACACCGGAAATATCAGAAGTAGTGCCAAAAAAACCGATCCGCGATTAGCGTAAGAGATCGTACCGCGAGTGAGGGACGGGCACCGACAGGTCGCAACTGGACCGTGGCATGACGTCACCGCCATTCAGGTGTCGTTTGTCGATAGTACTGTCGAATTATCTGACTGTCCTCAGATACAAAGCTGATCTATTTGAGAACAAAAAACGCAACATACAATTTCAATTCTTACTTCCAATCAGATTATTTCCGAAAGCGTAAAACTACCAGCTTAACAACTCATTTGGTTGTGATTTTACGAGTACTCAAAAGGTTTATCTATCAAACAAAGCAAAAGCTTTTTTTATGTATAAAACGCATAAGAATAACACCTAATTAATGTAGAACGTGTCTGAAAATTAGTTTATCAAGGCGTAACATTTAAATTTGACAGTATTTGATCGCGGCAGCCGGCAGCCGTCAGCCGGCGCGGTGTGAGCGAGCAGCTCTGTACTAGCGCAGTGGCGCTTGCGGCTTGCGTCGCCGTGTGTTTACGTTCCCCGCTTGCTTGTTGCTCGTTAGCTAAATGTTTATCCTTCTGGATGCTATCCATCGTTTTTCCTTTGTTAATGTTCTTTTCACTTTCATTATTCGATTGTAAATCTGTCTTGTTGTGATCTATAAACTGTTAATATAGATCATGTCAAAACTCCGTACTCGCACCGACATTACAGTTTTTTTGCAATCTATAAATAATTGTAAGATTGTTTATACTATTGGCATTCTCCGTGCTATTAATCATCGGGGATATAAGTGCTTAGAAACCAGACAGTCGAATCCCTGAATTGATAAACATCTAGCGCCTTGAACGTTTTGGCTCACAATAAGCAATTGAAATAATTACCGAAATTCTCCAGTCTAGTCATTCCTGTCGCTATGTGGATTTAAAAAAGAAAAATAAACGAATTGCACCAACTAGTTTTAATCCAATGTTATGAAAATAACTATTGTTAATCTACATAAGTCATACGTTATAGAATTTGTTTGTAATGGCTTCTTTTTTACTTTTGATTTCATTCAATTTACCATAAAATCATAATACACAATTGGAGTTAACTTCAGTATTTGGTAAACATTTTTATCGTTTCAGCAATTCCTTTAGTTCTTCTGCTTAACTTTCAAACTATACATTGAAACTTAAATTATCTTAACTCAACATTTGTATCAGCCGCGACTTGCAGTTCGTAGACCTGTCTGTAGTCTCCATGACTCAACGGATTGTCACTAGATAGTGCTTGTGTATTTAGAAGATATACTTAAGTGTTAGGCATTGAGTCAGTCTATTTCTACTTTTATATTTAGATCATCGGATGTGATTTACGGCACGTCTCGTGCATGTATCATAGTGCTGGTAGTCGCGTGTGTGATCGACCTTCTCATCGACATCACACAAGTCTGCTATAGTTCTCGTCTTATTAAAAAGCTTTTATTTGACGAAAGCGGCGTGCGGCGCGGCGCGGCGTTACGGCTTGGCAATTCTCCATTATTCCCGCTTCGCTCCGGCGCGCTTTGACTCCTATTAGAAATATTAACATGCCTCGTATTATAATATTTTATTATCAGCGGTATTTTTAATCACTTTAGACGTACGGATAAAATCTCACAGTCTGTTTGTTGAGTTGAAATGTTTCGAAATGTCTTTTACTATGCGTTGGCACAATTATGCAATTTAATTTTACTATACAATTAAATTACTAACAGGTTTTTTTGATTTTTTGATGATTTGAATTCTGGATGTTAAATATTTTTATTAAACTAATTGTTTATTTAACGACAGTTGCAATTTCTCTCAAGCGTACGAACATAAGAAGTAAATTCAAAACGAGTAAATCGGGTAACAAATTTTCAAAGACCACATCGTTGTCCATTCATTTATGTTTTCTATTCAATAACAAGAAACAATTAAGCGTCAAACAGCGTAGGAGCGCGTTAAATGGAATTACTGAGTTGTGACGTTTACATTTAGGGGATGAACGTGTGTCGGCAGTACTTTGAGCGTCGGCGGTGGTGCGTGGACAAAAAATACCTACAATTAATCTATGGGAGCATTGAGTCGAGACCATTATGTCGGCGGGTGCGGATGTACGCGTTAATCGCAAGGCCGACGGTCCAATAATCCAGCGGCTGCCATTGTTCGGGTCCAGCCATCGATGTCGGCGATGCGCGGTCCCGGCCCCGCGACACCGACGCTGAAATGCTAACTTACCGTAACTCCTCAATTCCATTATTCCCCATCATTTGTTCCTCTATCACTTCCTTAGCCAGTATCCGTTTATGCGGCTTACGGTTAGACTTAACTCTGTTTATTTACATTTACTGCTTCACTTCTAACCTATTCAAAGATCTTGTGTTGACAAAAGTTTCAATTTATTGACCTTCGTTTACATTTTCACGTCAGTCTTCTCAACCATTTCAGGTAGTATCAGAAAACCTATGTGTATCTCACATTTTATTCATGATTTATGTCCACGCATTCGTATCAAAGATGTCAACGGAAAGGGAAGAAAGTTGTGGCCTTTTCGCTGCCGTTGTTCGAATAAGCAAAAGTAACCAAACGCAGCTATAAAGATGTAACCTATTTATCGTATTGAAAGTAAACATTTGTACTTTAGAAATATGAAGTAGTTTCTATTAAACGAAATGATTACATGTTTATGGATGGTAGATACGTTAAACACATACAAAAAAAAATATTAAAGAACCCTAATTGGGAAATCATAATTAACGGGGTATTAATTGCCCCAATAATAAATGACCCATTTTCTAGTAAATATTAAAGAACGTAAAACTTAAACCCAACAAACACATGTTTACACCAGGGCAATGGCAGAGATTGTATCGAAAATAAGTGTGATAATTAAAATTTCATTCCAAAAAAGCCGGAATCAACTGTAAGAGCAATTTGTGTAACAAATACAGGCCGAAAGTAGCGGAATTAAAGGTCAAAAACTTACGCAGCAACTGACAGCGAACTTTAAAAAAAACATTCATTAATTTTCACATGATGTGTTTTTATCAAGAAACGATAAATGTCACGGGCCCGAGTGTTGTTTGTGACGGGGCAATGAGTTTAAACAAATGACAGGAGTTTCACTTAGCCTAATTTGTAATTATAATGCAACATAAAGTTAAATCGAGTGTCTTACGGAGATGATAGCCTTTGATTGTTAAAATCTAAGGATTGTTAATCTACGTATGTTATGACGGATAAGTTTAAATGCATCATTAGTGCTTTGTCTTATTCTTCTAGATTCGTTCTAGCTTTCTCATATTCTATCATCTTTATATTTTATTCAAATACATAATTCTGCTCTAATCCCTACAATCTGCAAAGTATGTACTGCATGCATATCTATTTACACCCTTCTTACTCACACTTACTTTGGACTTCCACTGCTTTTGTTTCCATTTGCATTTTTATTGTTTATGTGATCTTTCGCATAGTATGTCCACATTAACCTTTTGTTTGTCAATTTCTCCATCACTGACGCTACTTTGTTCAAAATAAATAACATACAATAAAGTACGATAACAAATTCGCCAACATCAACTCACGTAATATCAATAATAGCCCATTAACTTTTAACAGGCCGCGTTCCGATAATTTCGACGCGTAG